CGGGGTCAAGAGACCGTGTCGCGTTCTGTCTGTCTCGCGCCGCTTCTTGTAATTCTATCTTCGTCTCGCTTGCACGATTCGCCCGTCAATGGGCACGCGGATCCGTGCATCTGCCCGATTGCTCGTACGAGCGACGTCTGCCCAGGAAACTGTCCATTACGGGGATCGGAGAACGCGTCTGGTGTGTGCGCGCCGCGTGACGGACTGAATCGTGAAAACGATACTCTTGGTGTATGTGTATGCTTGGTGTATGTTGGATTCGAAATGTTTTGTTTTGGACATTGGTGATTTTTTGGATGAGAGACTGTATTAAAGTGTTGAAAATCAAAGTTAATGAAAAACATTTGTCATTGCTGAATATAGCCTCTGGTAAGTACGAACATCTTTTTTTTATGTAATTTGTTTAGAATTGCTTGCAATATTTTTATTATGAATATAATATATAATATTAAATCATTGAAATTATATTTGATAAAGAAAATAATAATAATAAAAATATAAATAAAATTTAGATTTTTAGAGATCAGAAATTATGCTTGCACATAGAAGTTCTATTTTTATAATTTTTATAATTATATTTCTCATATTTGTTTCATATTTGTAAAAAAAAATGTCATTCATATTTTTAAATTTTACTTTTATTATAAAATTATATATTTTAATTTTGATTAATATTTTAATAATAAAACAAATATTATTGAAATAAGTGATAAAATAATAGACATCGATAATATATTTTTGTCAATGTTAATAAATTGTTATGAAGTTTAATACGAATTCTTCTATTTACTTTTATTCTCAAACGTAAAACTTGTTATAACATTGAAAGAAATTTGCTTTTGTGGACCTAACTCAAACACTTTACTCATTTCGGAGAATATTATAAGCTCACAATTTTCGTTATATTTAAAAATCTAAAATCTTTATAAATTATATAAAATCATGGAATTTAAATTTTTTCAAAATTTCTATCTTGAAATAATAAAGATAATTTTATATAATAAATATTTTTATATTTTTATAAAAATTAAATAAAATTATATTAAATTATTTCAGAATCTGAAATACGAAAATAATAAAGTAATTTTATGTAAATATTAAACACTTTTGTATTTTTAACATTGAGAAAATGAAAGTTAAATGAGAATTATACTAAATCATTACAAAATTGTTAAGTAAACTTCCACACCTAGAAATATTTGTTATAATACAACAAATTACTTTATATTTACTCTATAAGAGTAATCGTATCAATAGTACAACCATAAAGTAAACCTACTACATAACTTGTGTACCAGCTGACAGACACTCTAATCGCTTCTCACAGTTAGTGACGTTGAAATTTGCAAGTACAAGGCGATACTATACAAATATAAAACGCGTACAACATTCGATTCAACACCAATCAAAGTTACAGTTAGGCTGAAAACGCCGGTGGAAAATGTGACTTAATTTAACGGCACTCCCAGCTTTTTCCCAGACCACTTGATACTTTCTTATCGGATAACTGGTCGCAAGAAGCGAGCAATATGCCCGCTTAATAAAACACTCTGTACCGAGACAAGAATATCCAGACGTTCGAGAGAATTTTGCCATAAGACATATTGCGTTAAGTAAATCATCGACTTACTGTCAATTAAACACGAATACTAGAGTTTCGATTCGATTATATAATTTTTTTTTTTCTATTTGTAAGAAATCGATTCATAAATCAAATCGAAGTAGCATATAGTATTTTTCTTTTTGTGGAAGATTTTATTTGCGCCCTCCTGCAGACTTCGTTCGAATTAATCAAGTAAAAATGGCGACGAATGATAAGATTTTTTTTAACATTTAAAGTTACCAAACTCGTACTACAAATATGGATTTCAGAATTTTTTTTGCAATTATTACATGTATTAGTAATTACTATTAATTTTTTTTTAAATTTGATAATAAAATAAAAAAAATTCAATATATTTTTATATTTTTTATAATTATAGCTATGAGAAACAATTAGTTTAAAAATTCAAAGGAATAATTAAGAAAATTATAGAAAAATTGAGTTTACAAGTTTGATATATATTCTTGTAACATCTTAGAAAATGAAACAAGTTTTCTCTTCTTTTCTTCTCTTTCTCAAAAAAAAAAAAAAATACATTCAATTCTTCAATTAACTTTTATCCTTTCTTTTCTTTCTCCTCTTTCTTTTTTCTAAAAAAGTATCAAAATTCAGTTAGCACAAGAGAAAAGTTTTTATGCGAGTTTCTTCATCTTCTCATGTTTGTTAATGAGGTCAACAAGAATATAAATTTTCGTCGGTTAACGAAGTGATTTGTATTTTTTCCATCGAGAGGACATAAGGCGCGCTCTGTTCGTACACAGAGGCTGTGGCGTGGTGGAGAAAAAAATGTTTCTAGTGCTCCCGTTGAGCAGATGTTTCGGTTGACAGGATTGAAAGAGAGAGGAAGGGGGCCAGGTCACAAAGGCACTTCCCTGAAACGGGGCGCCGCATCGCGTAACACGAATTTTCGCCCCCGAGTAGATCGCGTACTCCGCAAAAAGATCTTCATTTCCGCACTCAGACGATCTCGAACATCATGTTCTTCAAGTATCTATTTTATAGAACGTTTCAAAGAAAAGAGATTCTACTGTTGAATTGGAAAAATTGGTCGAAACTTCCGTGAGAAAGTCATATTTAAGATTTATGAATTAAATTGTTAAATATAGATTGTTTCAAAATAAAAAAAAAATAATAATAAAAGAAATAGAAATGTTTAGGAAAAATTTGAATAAGAAATTTCAAAGAATAAAAATTTTGAGTTAGAAAAACTAATCGAAAATTTCTTCGTGAAAAATAAGTGAAAAACAAAATTATTGAAAAAAATTTTTGTAAGAAAACTATACTTAAATTTTGTAAAATAATTTAAATTGTTAAAAATTTTTAAATTAAATATTTTAATATATTTAAAT